TTCAAATGTTGTTTATAGTGGTCAATGCGCTTAGCTACACCTAGCTAGTCACTGGCATGTCACTTAAACTGAATGAAAGAAATACGCCAACTAAACACAATAGGCTTAGAAATCCCAACTGGCGGGAGGCAGACCAGTTGCCCATTTGCAAGCATGACTGCATGAGGAGTTGAACTAGGGTCTACAGAGCAATAACTCCAGCTTAGTGGTCAGAGCGGGACTTGGGCCCACGATCTCGGGATTTCAAGTCCGGCGCCCTAACCACTCGGCCACGCTGCCTCCTCCCGCTACGTTACCCACAATTCTAACAGGAGGGTCTTCATGGGTCGAATCTCAGCTATTACTGAAATGTTCGGCAATCAGCTATCAGTTAAAATTTCATGCAGTCTATCGCTAAACTTCTCTTACTTCATGTCTTAGCAATCAGCCTGACCATCATTTCTCAGCTGACTCTAAAAGCTTTGACCTATTCTGGGAGCGGTGATGTTTCTCAACGTCAGCTCCACAAAGGTGTTGGTCGTCACAGTTAGCCCCCGACCACCCTACACGCCGGAGAAATTTGAAAACGCGGCTTTATTTCTACGTACGGTAAGGCCTACTATCTGCACTAATCCGTCACGAAAACCGACGGAGCTTTTCGAAAACACTCTAAAAACCGGAGGAATTTGAAAACGCCGGCTTTGCAATTTAGTGTAGACGGAAAACATTTTGAAAACGGAGCTTCTGGAAAACGATGACGTCACGATAATCATGTGATTTTTCAGTCCGAGTTTTCCTCAAACACAAATCCAAAATGACCAGTGATTGCTGCGTTTTCAAATTTCCCCGGCGTAGTGCGGACGAAAAACATTTGATGCATTTTCAGAGTGAAACCTTCGCATTCAAATTTCCCTTGCGTTGTGTGGACTGGGCCTAATCTCTCTTCCAACTTTGGCCGAGCCCTAGCCCCAAACCTCAGAAAGGTTGAATCCTCTCTCCAACCCTGTAAATTTTACCAGGGAATCGAAAGAGGTTATTGTTGAGAATCCACAACTCATATTCGCAGGTACGCACGTGCATACGTGCCTAAACGGTCGCTATGACCCTGCGCCGTTTCCTGTGATGTGAAGAAACGGTTGGCCAAACGGATTAACAACAACAAAAACAACAACAACGACAACAACAGTCTCTAATTGTCCCACAGCTTAATGAGGAGTAAAATGGTCTAAAATCACCCTCACCGTTAATAGGAAGAGTTGTACTAAACCTAAATCTGGTATCATTGCGTCACGACTGAAGTTGATGTGCGTCATATGACGTCACCGTCACCGGAAGTCAAGCGCGAGATTAACATCGACTTCCGTAAGTTATTTTCAGTGCTGCAAAATTAAAGAACTGAATGTCAGTAGCCTCAAAACCTGCCTGTAACAAAAAACCACCTTTGGGGCACATTTATCAAACTTTGCAACATTACTAAGAAGAAAAGGTCTGCTGACTTTTGTACATTGTTTCACTAAACTACTTGTTGCGTGCCGAAAAATCTCTCTTCTGAATTACGCTGAAAGGCAAATTACCTGACGAAGTTTTAGGTAAGAACTTTCCTGTACTATTTCAGCTACTCTTGTTGGTTTTCTTTGGTCGGTTTCCACACTTTAAAAAACTAAAAAGAAGTCATAAAATTTGTAGTATGTTATTTGTTCACAAATCTTCGAAAATTGTCTGAGATTACTGTCTAAATTGAAGTTTGGTTTTCCGGACTTCGTCCAAAAGCCTGAAAGAGTTTAATTGCTCTTCAGCCTCCGTACACGAAGAGCGAAAAAACAAAAATTGTTCTGTCTCGACTGAGATGTGTAAAGAAAATTCCGGAACTACCAAGTTTGACTCGACTGGGTTCTCAAAAGAAAATTGAATCAATGTTTACCTTTCATGCAAGCCGACTGAATTAAAAGGAGCCAGTTTATTGCCGGAGCCATCAATCATTAATCCTAAAATACATTTTGCATCGAGGTAGTGCAAACAAACTTTGTCATTTGACCTTGCGGATGCTTAAACGACCCGACGTAAATGCTATTCGCACGTAGGCAGGCTGTAGAATGTTGACACCACACTCGACAGAGGATACGGTTACGCGGAACATCTTGAAAAAGAGAAATTTGACTATGCCCTTGATGATATGAGCGAGTACCTTGCACAAAAACGTTCTGTAGCGATGCCTGTAGACTTCATGATTGACAAGACAGCTAAAGAGGCAACTCACGGTGCTACAGTAAGCCGCGAAAGCAGTTTTAGCAGTGTGGAATTGGCCGCTTCGAATTCCCTCAGTCGCGAGAGCAGTTTTTCGAGCGCTGCCAGTAGCAGTGGAAGTGGAATTTTCGACGCAGATTCTCCTCGCCCCGCTTCTCGATCAAGTTCCTGGAGATCGAACGAAGACCCCAGCGAAAGGCAGTTTATTTCGAGCGTAACCGATCAACAGTACCAGAGATTGCATAACGCAAGAGCGAGATTTCGCAAAGCCAGGGAGGCCCCGTCTAGTGGGTCCTCTTCCACAGAAGCGTTCCACACTCCACCCGATCACGCCCGAACTATGACGAAAATCAAGCGGCCTGAAGTCCACGGACGAAGTGCCTCTGAGCCTGAAGTCTTGTCGAAGATCTCGAAGTCCAAGCTTTCCTCCAGCCCTGCAGGTTTGGTTATAACGGCGCCGCCGGTAAAGGGTTTCATAGAGTATCGTTTACGATCTCGCTCCTTCACCGGAGAAGACAATACGGAAGAAGATAGAATTCTCAAAGATTTCTCCCAGTCACTCCTGTTACAAGTCCCAGACAATGGTGTGGAGGGTATAAAGCGGTCTCCCCCAGTCAGTCGCCGGAAAGAAGCCAAAGAGAAAATGGATAAGGTATATACCAACTTAGATTTTACTCTTCATTCAATTTTCCAGTTATAACGGTCTATTTTTTAAGACTCTGAAAGGAATTTCTGTCTTCGTGCTAAATACTTTGCATCGTGCGTGGAAGATAGCAAAATTTATTCTGTGCATTTCAATTACTGTAATTGTTTTTGACAACAACTGTGCCAACACAGGATAACACGGCTAAAGTATGCAATGAGCTCGAAAATCCGTTTTCCAAAGAAAGCCCTCACCCACGCACTTAATTTTCCCACTAGGAAAGGCACCTTCGTACAGTTGCAATCACGAAATCTCCACTTTTTGAGATTTGTGTCTTTAATTTCTCGAGAGTCCTAGATCTATATCTTGCATACAATAAGTGGCGTGTATCGTACTTCCACTTCACTTCTCCTATCCAAGCGGAATATCAAAATTTACAAAGGCCTCGACTGAAGCCGTCTATTGTATGTCTATAAGAGGGACTTTCCGCGTTTTAGCGCGTAGCAGCTCTGTTACTGGCCAAATTTCTTTCACCACTGGAGCATGCGCACATGCCGTTTTCTAACTCGCGCTGTATAGTGGGATACCCAACAACGCGACGAGAGACGAAGCGACTTTACTAGTTTGCTGGGCACCCACATTCATGATCAAAAAGATTTGGTCAAATAAGATGTAGGTAGGAGGCTCGGGAACGTTCTGCTCGATAGCTTTCATTTGAATGGTCACACACCAGGGTTTTATCCACAGACGTAAACGTTAGAACCACCTTGTACAGCGTAATAAACAGTACCACATGAAAGTACTGCTCAATAGCTTTCATTTGAATGGTCACACACTAGGGTTTCATCCACAGACTTAAAAGTTAGAACCAACTTTGCATTGCATAACAGTAACACATAGAAAAGAACCACGGGTTCTCATCACTTAGATTTCATGCACAGACTTAAAAGTTAGAGGCTTTTTGATTCTGGAAAGGGCAAGGGCAGGAAACTGGCAAGGGTCATCAATAGAACTTTGCTTTACATCCCTGCGGTTAGAGGTAGAGAGGCTGGCTTGGGAATGTGATAATACTAACAGACCATAACAAAGCTGTTGACTGAGAGAGAAAAGCAAGGTGTACTTAGTGACTTTCTTCTCCAGTTTTCCAAAGTATTTTTTTTCAAATGGAGAATCTGCTGAAGGAAACATTTCCAATTGGGACGAAGAACCGACTTTTGTCGGATTTCAATCTAGCTTGTGTTGTAAGTTGTGCCGTAATTCAACCATATGGAACATATAAAACCTCTTTTTCTTCACCTCGAGTTACTCTTGACCTTTTGTTCTGCGTCAGTTAACACATCAATGGTTACTTTACTTATGAATCTTGACAGCACATCGGCGAAAGTAAATATGTGAAGATGAGATGATCATGTCCCATCTCACGTAAGCTGGCATAATGAGTTCATAATGTACTAGTTCTTTCAGTGTTCGTCGAGAATACATGAAAAATGTCACTGAAAGTTTGAGACTTAAACGTCAACGGTCTCAGAACTGGTAGCCTTACCATCTTTTATGACGCCTTTTCCATTTCTGCCATCCATTTTGCTGTAATTATTTTTGGGCGGGGATACCAAAGATCCTAGAGTAATCGGTGTTAAACGCGCAAGGACGCATAACAGTCTTGAACATTTGACTCTCTCCTCTCTCTGTTGCCATTATTGTACAGATTACCTATAAATCTTCTTCGCGTGTCAAGTAATTTTTTTCCAATGGTGGGTTTAGGTTGCTCGATTCCTACGTTCATACAGTCTCGACGTAAATGTCAATTCTTCTGCTTATGTACACCTATGGTCTTCAATAATTTATTTATGTATAGCAAGTTTCGTTCTTACGTATTAACAGGAGTCTCTCTAACTTGCTCAACTTTGGGAATTTTTCCTTTTTTGCTTTTTAGACTTTGCGGACAGCGTCCTTTTCAGAAAAGGACTACGAATTGTTAAAGAAGGTGAGAAACTTCTTAGATGTTAGAAATTTAAAACACTAAGGTAAAATACAAACTTCGCAAGGATAAGCCTCCACTCTTAGGGCTTGTCACACACTCCTCCCCTCCTCCACTCGAGGGAGGTAAGATTGCATGATGAACACCAAGGAGCGTCTGCATAAGACTGGGAAGCAATACGAGGATTGAATCCCTGCCTCTTCATTGACGAGGAAATTTAAAAGTAGGCCCGCAACGCGTAAGAACGTCTTTGTTGTTTTCTAATTTGTTTTGTTGTATGTTTTCGGACTTACGCATATGAAAGTTTCTTACTTCAATATCATGTTGACAAGGTCTCTTTTAAGTCACTTGTTTAGAAACATTTCTGTTTCTGATTTTTTTTCCCCATGCACAACTTCTAATTTAGTGACCACTCTCGCTCAAGACGATAAATGTTAGCTTAGGAGCCCATCTGTGGAAGAGTGCATCTTAACCTACGATTAGACGTTCTTTCTTTTATCGAAGCGGTGGAAGAAAAAGAACTCCTGATCGTAGGTCGAGTGCATCTCACATATTTTACCTTTAAATCGGCGTATTTCTAGTAAGACGCCAAGATTATTTTTCACAACAGTCTTGACTCATTTGCTTGAGAGGAGACAAATATGGGAATTTATAGGAACTATTGCATTCATGTTTTTCTCTCAATCTTTTCTTGTAACAGGAAAAAGTCGATTTGCAGAAGGAGCGTGACAATCTGAGACATGAGTGTGACCGCTTACAGTGCGAGCGTGACGCCATACAACTGGAGCGTGACACTCTGATACGAGAAAAAGAAGAGTTACAAGCTGAACTGAACAACAGAAACGACATCATACATCATCTTCAAGATCACGTGGTAAGTGACATATTTGCCGCACGTCAGGTGTGTGTGGAGTTGAGTGAGCCCGCTTTATATTGTTTGGCGGTCAGCTTGGTTTCTAAATAACATATTCTATCAGAACCATTCAATTCCAGAGACGTTATTTCCCATCTATGATGAACCATACAAAATCCCTCCGTTGGTATTCTTTTCAGTTGATTGCTAAAATGTTTAAAGGATAAGTAGCCATACTTGTTTCCGCAAGTATGGCTTGACCAAATCTTCTTTAGCTAATAGCTTCTACTTTAACAGTAAAACTATATCGACAAACCAGTGTGGAGAGACGGAGCTATTAAGACTAGATCATGAGTACAAATGCTGAAAGGATAAATAAACTTTGGAACCTTTCTGAAGTGCAATATTGATTCTGGCTTCAAAGGCATCCCGGTTCTTATAGACTACACGTAATCCCTTTTCCGCTCAGTCCGTCGTGCGTGACGCGAAAGAGGAACGCGAGAAAAAAATGGCTGCGCGAAATCCTGGGGCCAAGAAGCACGCGATTCTCACCCCCAGGATTTCGTGCGTCCATCAGTTTGCCACGCATTTTTTTCTTTGGGGGGGGGGGGGGGG